TCTAGCTCGTCTTCCTGCGCCATATCGGCCCACGACATTCGAGAACTTTGAGTCTCTACAGAGGTGGATTTAGGGGCCAAGCCACTGCTAGAAGCTTCCGGGTCGGATTCAGATATCCCATGAACTCCGTCTTTCCAACTACCTAGTGAATTTGAGTCCTCATCATTATAATTATCTTCACCATTATCACTAGCCCCCTGCAATTCCGGGGTCTTCGGTGTCAAATCACTCGAATTTTCATCTGGGTTGACCGGTTTAGAATCACCATCAAGTTCTACAATACCCATCAATAAATTCCCAATAAGGCTTTGCCACAAAAGAATTCCAATATCAAGATTTATTAAATTTACTGTTCTCTTTGTACTTAAACGCAAAGAGATTTGAAATTTTCCTACTTTACATACTATCTAGCCCTAAATTTTCCAGGGAAACAAACGGAAACCGAATAAAGGCGTACCTGAGCCGAGGGAGCGGACGCGATCGGCGAGTTTAGTGGAGCAGTGGTTACACAGATCTCTGGAGAGGAAGGAAAGCCAGGTGGTGAGGAACTCCGACGCGATTCGGAGATCCGAGGGCTGGTAACCGACGAGAAACGGGTCGACCGGTTTGTCTGGGTTGGTGTTGGTGTTGTCGGTCATGGCTGGCTCTGTTGCTGCGGCGAGTTGACTCGGCGAGTTGATTTTTGCTTGGAGCTAAAGACAGATGACAGGTACAAAAGTAGAGAGAGCGGGTAGACAAAAGCGGTATTTGTGGAGGTTTGGATTGCAGTTGAACCCAAGTTTTGTGACTATAAAAGCTTGGGATATGGATGCAGTTCTGGGCTTTGTGGCGGGGTAGATTTGTATTTATGGGGTGGAACAAAGTTAGATTCGGCTGGGATTTGGATATTTGGAATCGCATTCCTGTATGGCATCGGACACGTGTACGGTTCGTAAAGCAGTTGGGATAGATAGAGGAATGCAGGCTCACGATAGATTTGCTTTCTGAACGAAGTCGTGAGGAGATTGGTGCCCCAATGCCGAGGTAATTACTTTTTCGGATTCGCTTGATAATGCTTCCGTAAAAAGCACTTGTGGTTACAAAAGTTTTTATTAAAAGCAAGCATGTTCTTGACCAAAAAAAAAACGAGCATGTTGAAATTTAATTTCGATTTAGTACCCTAAATTCTTACATTCAAGGCATGTTTGTCCCTGCACTTTCAATTTTAACGATTACATATTCTAAGCTTTTCAATTTTTTGCAATATGGTTTTGGCATTAACTTCAATATCAAAATTTCTATTAATTGCTTGCATGGCAAGCATGGATATCACCTATTTGCTTATTTTGATGTCAGTTGACGAGTATTTTTGGGTAATTGGTGTCTTCCCTCCCATGAAGAACACATTACACACACTAATACCAAACCATTTTTTAACAAATACCATTCAATTGGCATTGAAAGAAGTGAATAGGGTGGACCCAAGCTTGCCACGCAAGCAATTAACGAAAATTTTGACGATGAAGTTAACGCCGTAACCATATTGTAAAAAATTGAAAAGTTTAACATATGTCATCGTCAAAATTAAGAGTGCATGGATAAACGTGTCTTCAAAGTAAGAGTTCATGGTACTAAATTGAAATTGACCCAAATTTTTATAGAAAATCCAACTATTTCTTGAAAAAGCGTCTGAGAGTGCTTCTATTATGTAGAAAGCAAGTTATAGTGATTTTTATTAGATACAAGCATGTTCAAATTTTTATAAAAAATCTAACCGCTTTTTGGAAAAGCCTTGTGAAAGGGTTTCCTTAAGAAAGAAGCAAGCACATGTCATGATTATATTGTTATTTTTGGTTGTCTGAAAGTTATGTTTAGATACATGAGTTGAGTAACAAGCTCATTGCACCATGAAAATATAAGCTCCCTTGTTTGTTTATTTACAACCCTCTTGTAATTTGAAGTAAGATTAGTAATTTGATGGGAAAGTGTGTGAGTGCATGGAGGGCAGGGCGGCAATTTGAAATCGTTGAGGCCCAACGAAAGCCTAACCAAGGGTTGAGGCCCAACGAAAGCCCACCTAACCAAACTATTCTTAAGCAGATTGGAAAGGTCCAATAATCGCATAGTGGAAGAAAACCAAAGAAAAGATAAAGAAAGTGATAAGCAAATCCATCTATCCATCCATCCGCTCACTTAGCTGCAACAACAAAGTTGAACAATGGAGGCCAAGCTTCTCCATTTCCTCGCTTCAACACCATCCTCACCAACCCACCTTGTCCTCTCAAAACCTACAGGAACAGGACACAACCATATCTTCTCAGGGTTCTCACCTACCCGTCCAGGATGTCTCAGAATCTCTACACCCATTTACAACAACACTGGCAGTGATGGTGGCAGCACCAGTAGTCCAGAAACTGACAGTAACAGCGTGCCGCCGCCACTGGCACCGGATACCACGGGACTGCGATTTCGAAAGAGGTCGAGAAGGCGGACGAAACTGCAGAGAGAGGAGGGCAGTGATGGGGATGGTGGACGGTTCACAAAGGCTCAAGCTAGTACTAAACCTCCTGCTGCTCCGAAGAAGTGGGAGGATATGAGTCTGGGTGAGAAGGCCTTGGAGCTTTATGTGGGGGAGAAAGGGTTGCTATTTTGGATAAACAAGTTTGCTTATGCTTCCATTTACATTGTGATTGGAGCTTGGATTTGCTTCAGGTTTGTTGGACCAGCACTTAACCTTTACCAGTTGGATGCACCTCCTCTCTCTCCCACTTCAATCCTCAAGGGTTCCTGAGTCTCATAACAGCAATTAAACCTGCACAACATCCAATATGTCACCAATCTTAGAACCCATTTTTCTTTTTCTTTTTTCTTTCTTTTCCAGAGAGATTTTGTATTTCTGATTTTGATGTGATGATAATTCACCATCGTTTCACCTTTATAGTAGACTTGGGTTGTCCATACCAATCTCAGCTCAAAGATTCAACATAAAGGAGAAGCTAGAAATTTGTCTGTGTGTGCATGTTGTGTTGAATATGTGGGACGAAATGTCACCAGATAGTAATTTCCGAGAATTAAGCGACAGAGAATCCAAAAGAATGTTTGAAGGAAAAAAACTAGTTTTGAGCATGTAATATTACTCGATCAATACAGTATACACGCACCCATCCTTTCTATATGAGATGAAACTATGGAGCTATAAAATTACATTCTTGGCGAGCAGAGACTAAGATTGAAATATCAATCTACTATCTTAATAATGTATCACCATGGAGATAACCAAAGGTTATAGAAAACGTTCATCTTCACCTCAACATAGTTCAAAATGAAAGGAAGGTTGAAACAACTTCATAATTTTGAAATACTACATGACATTGACCGGCTGAGCGGTTGCATCTCTTTGAGTCTTGCACCTGCAGAAAACAAAGGTTCCAACATTCAGAGCAAATTACAACGTACTAATGGACATAATGTACATGTCTCAACGTGGAGCATCACAAAGTACACCCATAAATTGTAAACAGTTGGTGCAATTCTAGAAACACATATTTGCTGATGGGATCAGTGGTACACACATTTGAGATTCCTGTTCTTATTAAAAAGCGAAGCAAAGGAAAAATTGAGAAAGAGGTTTGACTACTCCCAAGGCAAGAACAATCAAGCAACAATCTACCAGGATATATTCCATGCGTTACGGGAAAAAAGTTTCTACGCCATCAAAAGTTGGGATTAAAACCCAGGAATAGGATAAGTAACAAAGGATATTCATAAAGGGGGCGGAAGCAAACTGGAAATAGAAAAAGAGGAATCGATGTTTAGTTTAGAATGCATTAATCATGAATTCAACTTAATAAGATTGAAAACTAACCTATTGCAATTTAACCGAGACGCATAATTATGATTGTTGCAATTTGTGCACATCCAATCCCCATTACGCCATTGCTTTGCTCTGCCAAGTCAATAAAATATAAGTAACCCAGACCACAGAAGCTAAATTAAAATTAGGGATAGTCCACAATTTATCCACATTCAAAAAGCTGTGAAACCGAAAACAACAAAATAAACATGAATACTTTATATTTGTTAACAAGAGTTACATATCATAAGATTCAAAGACCAAAAAAGTTATCAAACCAACAGAATGTGACACCTACTTATGCATATGTAAAAGGAAAAAGTGATTCCAAATTTACCCTTTGCCAAGGAGTGTAGGTGTCGTTGTTTGCTGTGTCAATGGCATGGGGACTTGCAAATTCGGAGCCATGCCTGAGCTTACACTGGGAGGATATGAAGCATAAGGTCCAGTTACAGGGTTAGCACTGGTGCCTACCACTTGCTCAAACCCAGGATAGGATTGCTGATGCCCAACTGTCTGCATCAGTGAAAAGAATAAGGAAAGGATGAGGAGAAGAAGAAAACATTGACATTGTATGTTATTTACAATGTTATAATCTAAAATGTCATAGAATAGATAAATCATACTTACACTTCCTACGTTCAATCTCTTGTTATCCCAGTCATGAACAAGCTCTTCCGGTGCTAATC